TAGTGCCTGCAAAAGAAACACACACACAAAAAAGCTTGTGATTTCTTACTCATAAAAGCCAAACTTTGTATAGGAAAAAAGAACATAAATGGGAGTTTTTAACAAGTTTACCTGGAAAACAAGAAGATGAATACAAAGAGACTTTTCTGATTTCCTACCAAAAATCCTCAAGTAGACATTAACGAGCGTCCCATCTCTTGTTCCCGTTAATAATCCCGTCGCAGGATCAAACCTGGTTCAAAAGAGAGAGGAAGAGTCATCATGTGTTGTCGACTTTGCTTTTAACAGGACAAAAGAATTAGCTTACTTGGGGAGACGATGCCGTGGACATTTCACAATGCCAGCAAGCTGAAGAGTTACACAATAGCAAGTTAGACGCTTAATAAAAAATTGAATAGATAAAGAAAGTGTGAGAGGGAGAAAGGCGATCAAACCTGAGGAAGCGACAATAGAAAGTTCAACACTTGAGGAAGAAAAAATATGAGGAGAGTTTCACTGCAAAGGTGAATTCCCCCAAGATGGAGTTAGTTAGTTGAAGCTCACATTAGTTAAATGCAAAACTGCAAATGATGAAACTGAGCAAATGGAAATATGGATGGTAAGGTTAGAAATACACCTGAAGTGACCCAGAATGCCAGCAACTGCCATAGTCATACCGGCGAAGACTGTGTAAGTGTCTCCAACAAAAACTGAAGAAGGGTACCTAGCAACACCAAAGAGAGGACATGAATGTGGTTAAAGAAAGCATTCCGCGTTGCGAATTTACCTGATAGATTTAAGAAAAATAGACTTGAAAGTTAAAAGTATTACCAATTGTAGGCAAGCATTGCCAAGGATGTTGCCATCAATGGCTGAGTAAGATATATAGAGAAGGCATGAGCTTGACGAAACTCAGTATCAACAGATGCTCCGATTTGCATAACGTTGTGTATCAGGATCTACATGTAACTGAGATGCATCAAATCTTCACTGAAGAGAAACAAACGGGAGGAAAGAGGGACAAAAGAATGACGAATTCAAATTGACTGCAGAACTTACAGCAGCTGCAATAACTACTGTTTGACCGATTTCAAGGCCATTCAGACCAGCGTGAATATTTATAGAATTTGTGCAAAAGACAGCCAGTAGCGCCATATATAACTTATATATCCGTCCTGCCACAATAAAAATACAATTTAGGTAATCAATTTGAAAATAGTTGCTGCACGATAGACAAGAAGAACTGTACCTAGATCAAGTATTTCCAAGCCAACATAAGAAACTAGAGGTTTTGGTATAACGATAGTTGTATGTCCAGCATAAGCCATCAGCAGCGGAAGAGTTGCAAAAGATGGCAGGAGAAGTTTCCTGCATATTGATAATAATTAATACGTGAACAAAGTTCACGCATGATTCAAACAAAATAAGAATTGCACCTACACTCTCCAAGGCACATCAAGGACGTCATCTACAAATCCAAGCAAAATCATGAAGCAAATAGATGCCAGTGCTGCATTGTACTCCACAAGCCACTGCACAGAATCAATGACCCATTCAGCCAAAAGAAATGAATGATTAAGCTTGTAGCTCTAGAGATCAACACACTTACCAACGAATCTTCTGTGAAATTAAAGAACTGGAATATTATCGCCACGATCAAGAAGACAATACCAACAACAATTCCCAATGACTCAGGCCTATACAAAGATGAACAAAATGTGAGAAATGGTGAAAATCAGCACACCAAACCTCTTTAAGCCGACCATACACGCAGAATTCAGATGTCACAAAGATCAAATCAAACCCAATTTTGTACAGAACATCAATCAGACAATGAGATACCTCATAAAAAACGATGAGCACTAATTTGAAACCTAAACATGAGATGAGACAAATCGAAGAAGGAATTACTCACACTTTAACTTCTCCTTGAGGCGTTCCTCTTTTGTTAATATCAAAACCAAACATGTTACGCCTCAGAACATATCTAGCAGCTACAGGAATCAATTTGAGTGTGACAAAAAACCCCACCAAGCTAAGCCCAGCGTTAATGAGAATCGGACGCTTAAGCTCTTCATCAACATTATAATGGAAACAGAGAAGGTAGATGTATAGCGAACACAGAAGCGAAGAGATCACAAAGATCACGCCCAATTTCGGCGGCGAGAGACGAAAATCCTCTCCGGAAGAAACTGTGGTCTTCTGCTCCGACGGTACCGAGACAGATTCCGGTGAAGCTGGTTTTGTCGAATTAGTCACTGAAGAAGTTCGCTTACGAGCTGCCATGGCGAATCCGTTGGCTATTTTGCTTCCCCGCCTCTGGATTTTTGCTTCCTCGACTTTTCGCTGAAGCTTGAAAGTCTGTAGCACTTCGCAACAATACGGCACCGTGTCAAAGATTATATATATAAAAAAAAAAAAAAATTCTCAAAGTGTATAAAGGAAGGTTACAAGAAAAGGCCATAGAAATGTCAGTAAGCGTAAATTATACGTATATATTGGCCATATTATCAAGCATAGTGTGGCTAATCTAAAATGATTAAGCTTCGTCTATTAATAACTCTGTAACATCGTTATCTCTCTAATGAGTAATGACATTTAAAATCTAGATTAGCCATTTACAAATTCGTAACAAATTCATAACAAATTTACAGAGTGATTTGTCCAGCATTGTCTTTGATTCTTGAAGCTATTGGCAACTTTGAGTAGAAGCAAAACCTGAGAAGAAACTTTAGCGCACAAAAAAAACTGCAGATAGTGAAACTTGAGTGATCAAAAACAAAGATCAGGAAGGCGATGAATTTGTATTTGAAGTAATGAAGTCAACATCATCATCAAGTTTTCTACATGGTACATGTAACACAAGCTTGCTATTCATCTGTAGAATCATATGTGTGTATAACCTAAACGAAAACTTTCCTAAATGTACACCAGGGCTGAGGTTCAAAAAACTGTTCATAAATCATTCTAAAAAATTCCCAACTCTTTGTAAACATTTTTCAGATTATGGTTCTAACTGGGTTTGCTTCGAAGCCTGGAGGCGATTGTGGTGGTACCGCTGATGCTTGAGATTCACCGTCAAGATCAAGATGGAATTCCAACACCCTCCTCCTACCAGTTGTCTGAGATGATTCTCCTCGGGTAATGGTTAATGTCGAATCAGCAGTTGAAGAGTTGTTCGAGAGAGACATGTGAGCCGAGGTTACCACTGAGCTGAAAACACCAGCCTCTTTTAGCTCTTGGATTATAACCTGTACAAGATGATGATAGCTTATGAAAAACCAAGAATTGGTTGATCATGTCAAATGGAGAACAAGGTTTGGGATTGAGATTACTAACCATGGGAGCATGAATGCGGGTCAGAATTCCCTTCCTAAGGAGTTTCAACTTCAATTGTTCGTCTGTCCACACAACATGTTCTCTGTACCTGTATTAGTGAAGCTTGTTAGACTGCACGAGCAAGAAAGGAGACGAAGAGTAGTGATTATAGTTGAGTCGATATTGATACCATTGAAGCATTTCCTCTGAATTCGCGGTTGAAGCAATGATAAATGCCTGCACAAAAATGATGGTCAAGAGCTGTGACTTGTATACTTCAGAATAGTAAGCAGGGAATAGAAAGGAAAAAATTATCAAATTCCAACTCACAGCTCTGTCAAACTCCAACATGAAACATCTCTTAACATCCACCTTAGTGGGCTTGCAACCACAACGATCACGTCTTGAAGTAAGATCTGAAAATCTGGGGTAAGTGTAGTGCAGCACAGCAGCTTCGTCTAGTTTGACCTCACTGCAGAAAGATTCCAAACTCAATTCTAAAATTCAAAATATGACACGGAAGAGAGCACCCGAACTACTGAAAACGAGAGGCTCAGGCAATATATGTCCCATTACAAAGCCAAAAGCATGCAAAAGAAGCTTCTATTTTAGATGCAGGGGAAAGCGATGCCATTATACAAAGAGTCAAATGATAGACAGAAGAAAAAAACATACTTTAGAGTCTTCCTATAATTGTGCCATCGATGAGCACCATTGGGACGAAGATGGTCCTGAACACGGGCAGCAGCTTTCCCATTTCCATAGGTTAGGAAATAGTTCGGGTTTCCTCGAGTGGCATCTTTATAATTTCCAAAGTAAACATCTCTCGGAAGATGGTCATAATTCTTCTTGAACATTGATACCTACAATAAAATGTACCAGTGTCCGACAATCATGTAATCAGTTTCTCATGGGGGCAAGATAGCTTCAGATGGTAACTAATAACAAATAAACACCAAAGACGATCATTTCTGTACCTCACTGAAAGGTTCCTTGATATCATCTCGCTCAATGCTGCTCTCCTGAAACAAGGACAATGCTGATAAAACCAGAAGAAGCTTTTTCGGTATAAAAATTGAAATCCAGACTCCTATAAGACTCACATAATTTGAAAAGACAACTGCATCCACGTCTGTAGAAACATTTCCCAGCAATTTCCGTAAAGAATATTCATCGGTTCCAGAAGGATGTATAAGCTCATCGGTGTCAAGATGAATTATCCACTCCATACCAGCATCCTAAATACACCGCGTAACAGAAACATGTGGCATGAGAAACAGTTGGCATTCTTCACTCTATCTAGTTACTATTACCACAATACCGTATTCAAACTACAGAAAATGTAATATATACCTGAGCCCTGGTGATTGCCATTTCCATGTTCAAGGACTGTTTCACGAACAATTCATAATTACACGGTTTGTAGAAGAAGCTCGACAACCAAGTCTCATTCCATATCCGGCTGTAAACCAAAAGCCAATGGAAATATCACATTAGTAGAGATAACTAACTAATGCAAGCAAATCAACTTAAAAATTGTTGTCATCCCCAATGCAATATCACATTACTTTTCTAGACCGCTCTAACGCACAAAATCAGAACTGAAAAAGCCACAGAGATGCACACCATAAATACCTTTTAGCCTGCTGTTCTTCTAATTCTTTAGTCCTGTGTATAACTTTTACACCCTGCAAATTAAAGCTATCACCATTGGTAATAAGAAAGGACGAAAACAAAACTACAATCACAGGGAAAAACGAAAGCTCCAGAGCTTACGGGTATGGACTCCAAAACTCGAGACACATTTGGGGATGCAGCTTTCCCTTCAACGAATAGATAAAATGTTGAAACTCCAATAACTTTGTGAAAGAAAATCCATGGAAGTGTCTGCTCTAAACCACCAGAAGTGCTTGTTGTAATGCAAATCTAAAGCATAAACCGCG